ATATTGTTTGAAGCTTTCATTTTTATAAATATTGTAAATATCAAATGAAAGGGTGGTGAATGAAAGCTTGTTCTCAGCCTCAATTTATATATCAAGTATTTCAGTTATTATTTTGTTTCTTGTTTTAATTATTCTCGGCCAGAAATGCGCCTCAAAATAGTTTAGGGAGTTATAATTTCAGTATTATTTTGTTTCTTGTTTTAATTAATTTGTTTAATTAATTATTAGGATCGTTCTATGCAGTAAATATGCCTCAAAATAGTTTTGGGAGTTGTTGGGTCCAATGGCCCAAGCCTATTGGGCTTGTTGCAAGTTATATAATGATTTAGAGTGCACTAGTGGCCCAAATTATGGCCCAATTCTCATTTTTGCCTTTATGTGATGGTGTGTGGAGGAAAAGTGAAAAACATGTAAAAATCCCATAAATGTTTGCAGGGTTGTGTAGAGGATATGTTATTTCCCTACACAGTACCTTTATTTATAGTAATAAGAGAGAGAAGAAATCATTCTGTTCTAAAGAATACTAGTCCTAATAGAGAAGAATAACTAGAATGAAATCTAATTTAGGATTTACACAATCATATTTAAATAAGAAGTTTATAATAGCAAGAAGTTTAAGGCCTTCTTAATGCTAGAATGTTCCCAAAATGTTTTGGGTCAACATGTCACCCCCACCATCACCAAAATGTTCCCCTTTTCTTTGTGCTAGAATGTTCTGGGTCAACACTAGCACATCATCCATCCTCACCTTAGTTCTAAAGATGAACAACGGCGGTTTAATCTTCGTTGGAAATGGAGTACGTAAGCAACCTACTCATGTGAGAGCTAGGTGTAATTGAAAACTTCAGAAGGTGTTCATCACTGTGGACATGGAACATGCAAAGGAAGAATGCCCTCCCTTAGGGTGATCAACTTTGATGAAAATCAAGGTAGTGCTCAAGAGGTATAAGCTTCTATCTCAAAGTTTTGAGAAAAATAAGTGAATACATCAAACCTAAGATTAAACATCTTGAAGGGAGTTTGTAATTTTTTGTTTTTCACCCTACAAACTCCAATCGCTTTCGTGTGCTTCTGTCAGTTCAGGAACGGTCATCAGCTTCCTTGATCTTCTTTATGTATTCGTCATCCCAAACGGTTATGTCATCTGATTTTATAAAACACTCCCCCAAAGTAATGTGATCTTACTTTTTTCCCAAATTTTTGCTCAACTCCGATTCGGCGTATAGTCATCTCTTGAATGTTGTAGCAAAGAGCTTGGTGTCAGGTCCTTCAATTTTAGTCAACTCTGTTTGGAATCGCTTGATATAATTTCTTAGACTTTCATCTCTTTCTTAGTTCAAGTGGTACAAAAAAAAAAAAACAAAAACAAAAACAAAAACAAAAAAAAATGTGTGTGTCATAAGGCAAGGAAGAAGAGGAGAATAATTTAGTGGCTTACGAAAGAGCATCAGTTGTGACCTCAAAATAGAGAAGAATTTGTAATACAGAAAGTGAGAGAACTGTTATGTTCCTTCAAGCATCCATGTGATGATAATATCCCACACAACAAATCATCATGCGCCCACGATGAGTGACTTGGGGGTTGGGGCGTTAGGGGTGTTTCGGCCAAGGATCTCAGATACCTAAGTTTCTTTGAAAATAGTGAGTGTTTAAGTTTTTTTGTGCATAGAAAACCTTACCCATTTTTGGTGGAGAAATAGGGTATTTATAGGGAGAGTGGCCGGCCTTTACGGTTAGATTTAGTGAGAATATTCCCAAGGTATTGTGTAAATAATATTTGGGAATAATTGTGAAGATATCCCAGAATAAATGTGTTTGAGATTATTTACTTGAAAGAGTTTGTCTTCAATTGAGAAATGTATTAATGATAGAATTTAGGGATAATTTAATGCCTTTGACTATTTCCACATGTAGACGAGCTTTGAGCAGTCGTAGTCCGCTCCTTGCATGTTGACAAATGCTCAACTGTGCATGGGGAATATAAATATGCCCTGCTCATTTAATAAGGGCAATCCTGTCTAGGATTTTTGAGATTATTTTTGGCTCCACAGAATTCAACACCCCAAGTAAGTGTAAGTGTTCAATTTTGTAATCCGGGGATATTTTGCCCATCCCAAGTGTAATTTAGATCTCTTAATGAAAGTACCAATTTTTTGTTGGAAATATCGTACAAGGTTAGAATGACGAAATCAAATATGAAAAATAATAAACACCATTAGTTCTGTAATAAAGTTGTGCAAAAGAAGTCAATACTTTTCTATTTAATTTCTTTGTTATTGTTCATACTCATTTGGGGTTAGCCTAATTGGCTAACACCCAAAAATTAGGAGCGTGTTCGCCAAAGGGCCTTTGATGCCTAAGAAAAGTAGTTTGAGAGAAATTGAACAGAGGAAATTCTAAGTAATAAGTGGTGACTACCGATTTCTCTATTTGACTTGGCTATTTACAGACTTGAACCCTTGAAAGAAGCTAGAATGAGAGGTTGCAGGCCATCCTAGGCAGACCGCTATGTTTTGCTAGTTGTGGAGCTAGAAATATCCCAAAAATCTAGAAGAAGACACATGGAATTTTTCTCAAGAAAAGCAAGATTGCCCTCATTAAATGGGCAGGATCCTCAACTACTCTCACGCGTAGCTCAGCATCCCTGAAAGTTCAAGTAGCTGAGACAATTGCTCAAAACTCCCCTACTCGTGGCATGGAAAAGTTAAAGTTATTAAAGATAAGGTTAGTTACTAAATCCTATCTTTAATACATCCTAATTGAAGATCAACTCAATCAAGTAAGAAATCCCTATCACAATCAATTACAGATACTTCCACCATTATATCAAGATATTTTCTCCTAATTAATATCTTAGGAATATTCTTTCGTCGTCCATCTTATAGATGATGCACCTTGGCTAATAGGAAGCCGTCATGTGTAGGGCCAAACCCTAACCCTATGGTTGAAGACGATGGATTTTTGCTACCACACTAGTGATGGTGCAAACTAATCTACGCAAACAACTTATGAGTAGTCCTAAAGTTCCCTCGTTGGTTGAATCACAGGAGCGTTGAACACCTATATCGGCTTCCTACCACTTTGGGTTGGGCATGGCTCAGTGGTAAGACACAATGGGCTTAATGGGCACCATGGTGGTTTGAAGGTATTGTACTCTTAGGACAGGCATAAACTACTTGTAGTCTGTTCATGACATCAAAGGTAAAACCATAATAGCGAGCTTAAAGTTCACGTGTCCTTCTTCTATTTAATGTGATTAATTTATGTTTCCACAAGTGTCTACAATATTGATTGATTCTTTCATTTTATTTTTCTTTCCAAATTTAACCAACCACCATAAGGACATTCTCATACTGAACCCCATTTTATAATTTTCTACCAAACAAACAGAGTCCTACTCTTTGAAGATTGAGTAGACTTTACCATATATCTGATATGGTTTTCCAATTGTAAGTGATAGTTTTAAAGTTTAACTCACATTAATGATGTTGAAAATTTAATATTATTGTATTCTAAATACTTATTAAACTAAAAGAGATCGAAATTTTTTTATTTAAATTGTTTTATTTTGCTAATAATATTTGGGGAGGGGGAAATCCAACTCAAGACATTAGTTGCAAGTGAGAATGCTCTTAATAAACTGGGTTACTAGCCCCTTACAATCATTATTTAAAGTCAAGACAAAGAATTATTGCATTGCATTCATAGATTATTTTTCTTTTTATTTTCTGTTATATTTGATGTAACGCAACTTCAGTCCATATATGATTTCCTTCTACCCAATGCCAAAGCCACAATTTGTAGTCGGGGTCCATGGAATAATAACAGTGATCGCACCCCCAATCCGCATCCATTCTAATGGCATCAAAACGGTACCATGGTGAGTTTCTCCATTGCACATAGCAGTAAACCAATGTGCTATACCAGAAAGTAGGGGAAAGTTCCCAATGAACTTCTTGGTTATCTCCCAAAATGTGAAGGCCAAAATCATCGTCTCCCGTTTTACAGTGAACCTTCAATTTTGTCCCGTCATGTATATGGTTGTTTATTTGAACACCCATTACCCTTTTATGAAACCACTTAGCATTTACATGACTAGTTGTGATGAAAACCAAAATAAAAATAAGTATGATAAAATTGTTTGAAGTTTTCATCTTGATAAATATTGTACTCAATATCAAGTGAAAAGGTGATGAGTGAAGCTTACGCCCGGCCTCAATTTATATTTTGTAGCATTTCAGTTATTATTTTGTTTTGCTTTAATTTTTCAGTTTGTATGTAAATTCTCACCTAGTCGTTATAATGTTTTTATTAATTGTTAACTTTGTACTTATGAGTTATATGTTTCGTATTTATATTATGTACAGTTTTATAAGAGTGGATTTTTTACACCTTAATTAATAATTTTATTTTATTACAAGTAATATTACTACTTCAACTTATATTACAGGGGACAAGGAATTATAGAATAAATAGATTATTTTTAATGAACCGCAATTTTGAAACCGTATAATATATTAAAAAATACAGAAAAAGGGAGTGGGGTGACAATCATGGAGATGGAACTTTTCTGCAGTACCTGTTTGCTGATTTTTTCGGACAGCAAGGAACCTATGGCCTTGGCATTACCACTAGCAGGCCGGCCACTCAGAGAATCATTGGAGGCCCGTGCCAATGACTTCCTGAGATGTATTGTGTATCCGGACCAGGAACAAGGTGATGCTTTCGAGATCAAGCACCATATGGTAGAAATTTGACCTGCTTTCTGTGGGCTGCGAAACGAGGATCCCAATATGCGCATTACAGAATTTTTAGTGGAATGCCAAAATATTATGATCAGGATTTTTCCGCTGAGGCTATCAAGCTCCGTCTTTTTCCGTTCACTCTAAAGAAAAAGGCGAAAAATATGGCTATCCACCCTCCCAGTTAATAGTATCACTACTTGGTAGTAGTTGCGTACAAAGTTTTTGAACAAATATTATCTTGCATCCAAAACGTTAAATTACAAGAGAGAGATTATAACATTTTTGCAGAAGCCGAACGAGGAGTTTCATCAGGCATGGGAGAGATTTATAGAGATGTATATCAAATGTCCACATGCTGCATTGACAATGATACTTAGATAGACCTTTTCTTTTTTTGGGCTTAATCCTACATCTAGGAGTCATGTTAATGCATCAGCAGGGGATCGTTCTCATCTACATCAGCTAGGGAGGCATTCGAAATATTTGATATGGTGGCCAAAGGATATCAACAATGGACAACAAAGAATTCATAAAACAACAAAAAAAAAAAAAAAAAAAACAAAAAAAAAAGAAAGAAGTGTTTCTGAATGAACCACAACTTGAAACCGTATCATAGAATCAATTTGTTGCAATCATATTTAGAATAGGAATGTGATTGTGTAAATCCTAACAAATCTAGGAATATCTCTTATATTCCTATAAGGGTAATAATTTTACCTATCCTACTACCATAAATAAATGCACAATGGGGTGATACAACACACCCCCTCTCTTCTCTCTCTCATTGCCGACGGCCCCCTCTCTCTATTCCCTTAGAATAGCTCAATTAAATAGGCCTACAACATGTTATTAGCATGCTCTTGCTAGAAGGTGAGGAACTGACGGATCGTAGGACGAGGCTATCTTCCACAAAATTCAAAGGCTCTTATTTGTTTTCTGCCAATCAGGTACGCTTAAAATAAAGGAAAATATTTGAAACGACCTTGAAGCATGAAAATATTCTCCATGATGCATGAACCCCTATGTTTATATTTTTCTTCCGATATATATTGTATATGTTTCATATATTTGCCAATATATATATATATATATGTTTCATGCATTACGTAATTAAATTGCTATGTGGAATTGTGAGTCAAAGCATATAAATAAATTAAAAGCATGATAGGGATTTTTCAAACCCTAGAAAATTCGAAAAAATAAACAAATTGGAAACTATGAGGCACGGTCGCCGCATCACCGCCGTGGCACCACCATCATCCTCCGCGCTGGCTTGCAGCCTAGCTGGGTCGAGCACGCCACTAGGACGATGTCATTCTGACGTTTGGACCATGGTAGCAACCCTATGGGCTTTGCTGCAAGCACACGGACACACCAGGCCATTTAGCATGGTTGGCTTAACTTGGGCCCGAAGCCCAGCCAACATCCAAATGGAAGCCTGCAACCTTCCTTTGACCTGTCTAAATGTACTCGGCCCAAACTGCCAGCAGATTAGGCTGCTGGGCTTTGTCCTGCGCCCTGACTCGAACCCAGCTTCGGTTGGGCTTCTTGGACCAACACACGGTCAGCTTTTGTTAGGCCTACCCCGTGTCCACCCTTCGGCCCTAACGCCAGCAGCTGTTGCTGCTGGGCATCGCAGTCTCTCAGCTCATGGATTGGAGCCACTTGTGGGCTGTTCTGTAGCCAAACTTAAGACCTATATGCCTCTAGGGCTTTGCCTCACTCACGACACCCAAGCCCAAATCCTTTTGGGCTATGATTTTTCGAATTCAATGCTAATTTTTGGCATTTTAAATAATTTAAACCCGAATGTTATTATTCTTGCTTCCACGATCGACCCCGTTTGATCCCGATCTATTGAATTAATTAAAAGTGACCTGTAGTCTATTAATCTGATAATGAATCCAAAATTATTGACCTGAAGATCACTTTTGGACATTAATGATTCAATAATTTATTTTTATACTTTGAACCATTGACATACTTTCATAGTCCCGAAGCTCTCACACTTGAGTTCTCGAAGAAACTCAAACCCACTATACTTAAATCAACATATTGCATTCTGTGTTTCTTGTAGGAACCTCTCCTTTATGAACAAATCGTTCATAAAACTAAATTGAACCTGTAGTTTCATATTTAGTGCTTTTGAAACCTGAAGTTTTCATTCAAAACTTACCACACGAAACCTATAGCTTTCATGCATAAATTAAACCAATATATGTATATAGCACCTGAATGTTCTACGATATATGTTTATGGATCACCATATGACTAATCACGTTTTTGTTGTGCCCTCTGTTTTAGGGACAGGTTGAACTTGAACATGCTTGATTTCACTGCTCTGGAAGTATCTGGAAGAAACTACCTAAGGTGGGTTCAAGATGTGAAGCTCTATTTTACTACAAAGGGCATTAGAGCCACCTTCGAAGCACCTACCGATGACAAACCTGTCGACAAAGCTCAGAAAGCTAATGCAATGATCTCCATTCGAAGACACATCCATGATGCACTGCAGACCAAGTACCTCGCTAAGGAGGACCCACGCACCTTTTGGCTTACTCTGGCTGGCTGTTTCGATCACTAGAAAGACATCTACTAGCCTGAAGCAAGACATGACTGGCAGCATTTTCGCTTCTAAGACTTTAAGTCCATGAATGAATACAACTCTAAAGTTTATGGAATCCGATTACTTCTCAAGTTCTGTAAAGTGGAATTAGCCAAATCAGATCTCTTGGAGAAGACCTATTCTACCTTCCATGCTACCAATATTGTCCTGCATCAATAATATAAGGCATAGAAGTTCATAAAATTTTCGGATTCAATCTCTGTTTTACTTCTTATTGAAAAGGAAAACCAACTTTTGATAAAGAATCATCAAGCTCGAGTGACTGGCTCGAATGTCGCGCTTGAAGCGCATGTGACTAATTCTAGCAGCCATAAACGACGCAAGAATCATCGTTACCGTGGAAATAGGTAGCAAACCCCACCACGGGCCCAAGGTCCACAGAGTCAAGGCCCACCCATGGGAGGAAATGTGACCCAGCAACAGCAACCCCTTGCCCCTAAGGCCCCAAACTTCAAGAACAAGGGAAAATTTCTCGTTCAATCGGCTTCCACTAAAATGGACTTGTGTTACTGCTATGGATCAAGGGATCATTGGTCATGCGTATGCCGAGCTACCTTTGAGACCATTGCCAAGTATCATTCCCGTTGTGAGTCTAACTTTGCATATGTAGATCATCCAGAAGATGCTACTACATCAATGGAGATATCAGATTTTCAAAAGGCATCAGCTCCTATAGACGAATAAATTTTAGACGTGTTTTAGGGTGTTTTACCCCTAGTGGCCGAACTCTCCCCCACCCCCACCCCCCCCCCCCCTAATTTTTCTAGGTTTATGGTATAATTTTGAACAATTTTCTATGTATTTGGAATAATTTGTTTGGTTTTGGTTTTTTTTGAATTATGGATTGTTATGTTATGGATATTATTTTCTCGAATTGATTAATTGAATGAATGGAATAATATTTATGCATGTGACTAATTCAATCAATTTATTTCTAGGTATATGTTTAGTGGGGAAGTTAGTTGTCTAGCTGATAGTGCTACCACGCACACCATATTGCGTGAGCGACACTATTTTACTAACTTTGTACCTAAGAAAGCACCTCTGACAACTCTCTCAAACCCATCCAACCTGATTGAAGGATACGGAAAGGCCCGTATCATGTTGTCTAATGGTACAATTTTAACCATTAAATAGGCCCTCTATTGTCCACATTCCGGAAGAACGTTGTTGAGTTTGAGAGATATTCAATATCATATTGAAACCATTGAAGATAATGGTTCTAAATTTCTTTGTATCACTTCATACAAATATGGTCAGAAGTGTATTCATGAGAAGTTGGAACGCCTCCTAAGTAGGTTGTACATCACAACCATTCGCGGCATAGAAGCCCACCATGTGGCCGACCCTATGCCTGAGTTCCAAAGCACTTTGCTGCTTTGGCATGATCGTTTAGGACATCCTAGACGTGACATGATGCATTGTATCCTAAAATCATCTCATGGGCATCACTTACCTCCTTAAGGATTCCCGCTATGCAAAGCGTGTTCTTTAGGGAAGTTGAATACTCAACCCTTGATTACAAAGATTATTCACGACCTTCCTAAGTTTCTTTAGTGGATTCAAAGGGATATTTGTGGACCTATCCAACCAACATACGGACCATTTAGATACTTTATGGTGTTAGTTGATGCATCAACACGATGGTCACATGTTTGCCTATTGTCCACGTGCAATGTCATATTTACGAAACTCCTAGAACAAATTATTAAGCTAAAGGTTCACCACCTTGATCATCCAATTAAGTTGATTTGACTGGATAACACTGGGGAGTTTACGTCACAAACTTTTGATGATTATTGCATGTCAGTAAGGATTGAAGAGGAACATTCTGTACCCCATGTTCACACCCAAAACAGCCTGGTAGAAGCTTTCATAAAGTGCCATCAATTAATAGCTCAGACTTTGGTTATGTGAACCAAATTGCTAGTATCTGCCTGGGGCTATGCAATATTGCACGCAACTATGCTGGTTTGCCTGAGGCCTACCGCTACCCAACCACATTCATTATTATAGTTGGTTGCTAGATATGAGCCTGACATCTAGCATTTATGGGTGTTTGGTTGTGCAGTTTATGTGCCAATAGCGCCACCACTATGTACCAAAGTGGGTCCTTAGAGAAAAATGGGAATCTATGTCGGTTATGATTTGCCATCAATTATTCGTTATTTAGAACCCTTGACAAGAGATCCTTTTACAACACATTTTTCGGATTATCTTGGTATGCTCCCACTATGTCTCATTTGGATCCCCACACTGCCCAGTTTCAAACTGAGATGCGTCAAATTATAGATCTTCAGAGCATTGCTCAGAGCATACCAGATGCTTTTACTGATCTAGCAAAGGTGACAAGATACATATACCCACTGAAAATGCACCTGTAAGGATAGATGTACCCCGCAAACGTCACCATCTCGCCTAGGAAGGCTGGACCGTCCTCGAAGGTGGGGGGGCCACACCTTCCACGCTGCCCGGTACATTAGCAGCTAGCCAATCATCTACTCTGACCCTAAAGTATGGAAGACCTCTTAGTTCAAAAGATTCACAACCCTTGAAGAGGAAATCGACACCAACTAGTGACCCTAGTTTGAATCCGACCATCGCTTACTCATCCGTCCCAACACATGACGTTATTCTAGATTACGGTGATGTCTTAGATGAGACAAACCGGCCTCCCAAGAATAATGAGATTTCAGTCCATTACATAGTATTAGATGAGGTTTGGAATCATAATAA